AAATTTTTAAATGTGAAATTGCCCTTCGTGGCTTAATATAAATTGATAAGATAATGAAAAGTAAACCTTGAAAATCCTTTATTATTTGTTGAAGGTGTTTTGCCTGTTTTCCGGCTTGTGAGTTAGAACTGCTATATAAAATCCCCGATTTCCTCACACTTTTAGTATACTATTATTGGACCTCTAGTAAGTATTGAAGTCGACCTCTCGTCTCTACTTCTTCGAGATTAGACGGGATACTTGCTGAGTACACGTTGTTTTCGTACTCATACTACACTTGCTGTGCATTTTTGTTGCACAGGTTTATGTGAGGCTAGTGGCTTAGTGGCATAGCGGCATGGTTGACACGGAGACTAGGTGAGCTGTATTCCCTCGAGGCGACCCGCAGCTAGTATAGTCTCCTTCAGAATTTTATTTAATTCATGTCCAATTGTATTCTGGACAGTCGTTGTGCTTTATTCGATTTTCTTAGAAATTGCTCATGCACTTGTGACACCGGGTTCTGGGCTACTTTGTAGTAATTGTATTAACTGTTCATCAGTTAAATTTGATTTGGGACAACTACCTTTTAATTGCTAAACTTGAAGGAAAATTCTAGATTACAAAAACACTAAAACGAGAATTTAATTAAGTATTTGGTTGGTTTGACACCGGTGTCCGGCACCACCACGACCCTTAGTGGATTTTGGGTCGTCACAACATGGTATCAGAGCACTAGTTTCCCGTTGGTCTCACGAGTCATGAGCAAGTCTAGTAGAGTCTCGCGGATCGGTACGGAGACGTCTGTACTTATCTTCGGGAGGCTACAGGGCTGTTAGGAGTACTCCCCTTCTTGATTTCCTTATCGTGCGGTTCGATTCCTTTGAGACTTACGCCTTTGATTCCTTCATACTCAATCTTATACGACGCGAGCGCTTGTTAGAAATCGAGAATTGAAGAACTAAAATGGCACTACAAATGTGGTGCGGGATGATTCTCCCGGTATAGTTGATTGGACTATTATAGTCGCCTTATTGAAGGATATTCTATTGTTTTAGCTCAGTAACAGAACTTCTAAGAGCCTTGAGGCTAGGCACAAGTTTCCATGATGCTTATGAGCGATTATTCCGCAGTATTGTTGTGATGGTAGGATGTTTGCCTACATGTCGGGGCAGTGAGTGACTTGGAGGGAGGTTTACTCCGTGCATGATCTAGAGATTCGGTATTTTATTCCCGGCTGGGGAAAGGCAATCAGGCTGAGAATGTTCAGGTTTGAGATGATGAGAGGATGAGACTTGGTGTTTTCAAGTGTGGTGGAGTCTTCACCGGCGGCGTGATATCGTCATCCTCGATTGAATGTGTTAAGTGGCCGGTGTGCTAGTTTTCTTCAAATTCGCCTTTGGAGCAGGGTGTTGCGGGTCACTAATGAAGAAGCGTGTTGGCCCAAGTTCAGTTGAAGTTTTGAAAATTGACAAATGAACTCAGGGAAGGACCTGGTCCATCTTGAGAGACACGGTTAGTCATAACCATTGCACATGGAAGGCACGTGAGGGAGATATGTATTGAAGATTACGCAGCAAATATCTTCTGAATGAAATCGAAAAGGTTGCATTGAGTTCTAAGAAGGACAGTCTCCTTATGATAAGAGAACACAATCCTAAGCTAGGATAAGAATGGGAGTTTGTATTGGTTAAGGACTCAAATCGACTACGGATAAGCATTGGAGTCTCGATCAAACTCTAACTGCTAATCCATTAAATAATCAAGTTGTTCTCTTTTACAAAAAATGCACATAAGTAAAAGTTAAGCATATTTGAGAGCAAAAAGATCAAGTCTGATTTGCAAGCAACATATGCGAGATACAAGTGTGCACGTCTGAAGCTACATGAACTAAGATAGAAGAACCAGTTTCATCATTGTGTTTATTCTAAGTCTAGTTCAATTGTAGTAGGTTTTCATATTGTACCTTTCAGCTTTCTTAGAAGCAATTGTATTAGGTACTCTGAGTATTCAAGTTAGAGTTAACTTGAAAGTGTCGTAACAGTTGAGGCTGTGTGCTACACTGGGATTAGAGTTAATCCTTAGGTTTACAAAGAGTTTTGTAAATGCAGTTTTTGGCTTAGTGATTTTAGTTGAGTTTGGGAAAATCCTACTGAGTAGTAGGTCGTGGTTTTTTCACCTTTTGAGCCAGGTGTTTTCCACGTAAAAATCTCTGTGCACTTTACTTTCAGTATTTATTATTTCGCAAACTGCTGTAGTTAGAACACTTAGAAGAACCAAGTTCTTCTAACGCGAAAATTAGGTACCACACAAATCACCCCCTCTTGTGTGGTATTGACGTTTATAACATCAATTGGTATCAGAGCGGGTGATCCTTGAAGAGGTTAACACCATAGGAAAAGATCAACATGAGTGCACCACCTGGGAACTGGGAAGGGCAATCCACTGCCAGGCCTCCTCTCTTCAATGGCCTCTGCTACTCCTGGTGGAAAAACAGAATGAGGGACCATATAATGGGCGAAGACTATGAGCTTTGGGATATCATCATTGATGGTCCTTTAGCCACAACCAAGAAGAATGCTGAAGGAGTGGATGTTCCAAAGACAACAGTAGATTGTACTGCTGAAGATCTAAGGAAATGGGAGAAAAATGCAAAAGCCAAGAAATGGTTAGTGTGTGGACTTGGTCCTGATGAGTACAGCAGGATTCAAGGCTGTACTACTGCCAAGGAGATTTGGGACACTTTACAAGTGGCTCATGAAGGAACACCTCAGGTGAAGAGGTCAAGAGAAACACTGCTGTATTCTCAATATGAGAATTTTACTATGAAGGATGGAGAAACTATCCAAGAAATGTATACCAGGTTCACTACACTGACAAATGAACTTGAGTCTCTTGGAAGGATTATCCTGGAAGAAGACAAGGTGGAGAAGATTCTAACTAGAGTTCTGCCAATCTCCTGGGAAAGCAAAATCACTGCCATTCAGGAATCCAAGAACATTGCTACTTTGAAGTTGGATGAACTGATTGGAAATCTCACTGCCTATGAATTGAGAAGGCAAACAATGAAGATGGATGCTCCAAAGAAAGAAAGAAGTCTGGCTCTCAGAATTTCAGAAGGATCAGATCTTGAAGATGATGAAATGGCTATGATAACCAGAGATTTCAAGAAATATCTTATGAGAGGAAAGGGTGCTTCAAAAACGGGAACAACCGAATTCAAGGCAAAACCGACGGG